TTGAGTGAGAACACTTTCTCTCGCTTATTTGGTCAAGCGAATACGGCTTATTATTCATTAGAAATTTATGACTTCAAAAATTATCATTCTGCTCTCACATAGTTTCACAGTAGGTTTTAAGGTGGCTTACACGATTTCAATTTTATCGTTTCGTTTCGAGGTGTTTAGGATTTTTTTTTATAATTTTACGTGCTTAAAGGTATTTTGGTAATTTTTCACCTTTTGATGGTGTTCTTAACTTACATCAGATATGGGGGCCTCCTATAGGCTCAATCACTTACCATGAATCGTCCCTTAAACCTGAATCCAATTTGAGAGGTAAACATTGACTTTTGAAGCAAGGAGCATCTATATAAAACATTGGATATTAATAAGTGTTGAATATCGTATATTTTTACTATTATTTATTTCTCATTTGTCGCTTAGATATTAATTTCTTTCTTTCTTGGTTTATTTGGACAAGGGTTTCACTGGATTAATTTGTCCAAAAATTAGCATATTCGACGTTCCGGTCAGCCTTTTATAGAAGAATACCGAAACTATCTTGAATATTTAATTTAGATTTTAACTGAGATAAATTATCCAGAAGATAAAGCATATTCAACCAGAACTACAATACTTAAATATTCATTTTTATCTTTTGTGATAAACCTTTTAAATTAGGATTTTTGTTTGATTATTTTATCATTACCTTTTTTAGGAATTAGTTATTTTATTTACTTAGACTCTTGACTTACAGATATTCCTTAGGTTCAACATTTCTATCGATTTTAGGCTCGATGCTTCATTTATTAACGTGGGTATTGATTTCCTCATAGAGTATCAAGACTCGCCCCTTAGATATTGATACTTCCCTTTAATACCATTATCATTTTTGGCTTCAAAGTTTCAATAAAATTCATCATTATCGATATTCAACTCTTGGTATCAATACTAACATAAACATGATCGATACTATGGGCCATTTTGCCGAGATTCACACATTAAATAGTATCAATATTGTTTTTCAAGTATCGATATTAAAACCTAGAATCAGTCACTTTCAAGCTTTAGAATCATTTTAAATCCCATCTAAACACTCCAATTTAAGCCCCCGTTTCTAAATCTTATGGGAGTTACTTAGGATCAAATAGCACATTCCAAACACACGTTAAACAACAAATGACACAATTGAATCCAAATTGTTTATAACACTTAAAACAACATGTTTATTCAACCAACAATGCACAAACACACGTTAAACAACAAATGACACAATTGAATCCAAATTGTTTATAACACTTAAAACAACATGTTTATTCAACCAACAATGCATCACTTTGGCAACACAAATAGCACTTTAATTCAATATGTATTGCCTTAACGTTTGGAACCCAAAATGAAGCTGCTCAACTTTCACCAGGCTGCTTCTCCTCTTATCACTAGAATACTCTCCAACCTTTTGCACACCACAACAATAGTGGAAAGGATCATACATTTAAGATGTCAAAATCAGATCAAAATGAGATAGCTCAAGGTCCTAAAAACTCTTCTAAAATCCTTTTCTAGCTATCTCCTTCTCTCATGTAGATTTTAAGCTCATATCAGCTTTTGAAAGTTTTTTACCTTCATTAATTCCAGAGGAAATCACAGCACAATAAAGATGTTTCTTTTAAAAAATTATTATATTTAAAATTATCAAATATTGAAAAATATTTTTAATAATATTTTATTATTTATTACAAATTTTAATATTTTAATATTAATATTAATATCAATAGTTAAATTAAAATTTTCAAAAAATAATCAAACATTAAAAAAATACTTTACAGAATATATTAAAACACTATAAAATTTCTATTTTTATTATTAATAAGATATTTTCTTGGAAGCGATTTTCCATTAGTTAAATTTGAATACAATTAAAATTTGTATTTATCTATGTCACTTATAGTATATAGTTAAAAGAACCCAATGTTTTCAAGTTTTCAGGGAAACATCTAATTACGTAAATAAACTCTAGATAATCCTCTCTTCTTACAGAAAATATAATTTTAAAATTTATACAAAATAAAATAAATAAAGATAATTATTTTATCTAAGCGGCATATTCAATCAATAAATATCATTTAATAGGGTTTTGGGCAAATCAATCAATAAAAGATTAAGTTGATTTTTTTAATAGAATATTAAGTTGACAATTGAATTGGTTATATATTTTTTATTATATATCATTAAGTTTGTTTTAGTGAATGCATTTTCATCACAACCTCTTAATTATACAGCAATTCTATTATTTGAATATATTTTAAAAAGTGATACATTATTGGTAAAAAAAATATTTAATTATAAAATGTATAATCCAAATCTAAAATTAAGTCAATACATTATTGGTAAAATTACTAAGAAAAGTAAAAAAAAATCTAAATTTCTTTAGCTTTTATTGAAATAATATTTTAAAAAATAAAAGAAAAGCAGGAGTTAATTACCGACAAAGAGACATGATCACATGGAAGCGATGGGACCCGGGATGGTCTTCTATCACGTAAAGTTGACTTTAACTCCAAAAACCCAAACATATGGGTCCCACCATTGTCATGCTTATTGATTCAGTGCCTTTATCACTATTTAGTATATATCACATGCATCTTTCCTTGTGGGTCCATTCTATTATTAAATCGGGTAAAGTATTTAAACGACCATTTGGGTAAACTACTTAAACGATCATTTAATTATTAAATTATTGTTACACAAATTAAGTGGTCTCCATGGTAAATAATTATTATTAGAGGACTCGAGTTCGAGCATCATAACTGTTAGAGGTGTGAGTATTTAATATTAAAAGGTTGAGAGTTATATTTGAACAGATATTACCGTGTAATTATCTCAGATTATTTAAAAAATTATTAGATTAGTATTGATTATCATACTTTTAATTTTAATAATATGATCATATGATTATTTAAGTGGTTTCAATGTAGTCACATCGTTACGAAACAAGTGGTGTAGCATATCTGGTGTTATCGACCAATGGCAAGTTAGAGGTCCACACCAACTATCGTTTGTTTTGTGACGATAAGTGACTACATTGAAACCAATTAAATAATTATGATATCATATTGTTAAAATTGAAAACTATGATGGTCACATATAAACAACCCGTAGTTATGTGAACATTTGAGTAGTTTATCCTATTATTTCAGTTAGTCACGATTTCAATTATTTGTTTTTAGGGTAAAATACATTGATGTCACTGAAATTTTAGGAAACTTTCACTTAACTCATAGAAATTGGAAAAGTTTTATTAAAGTCGCTTTCGTTATTAAAAAAAATTCATTTCGATCAATGGATCGTTAAAGCATTAATGACATATAATGTGGCATAGCCACCTATCATCGGAAACCGATTAACTAAATTAGTATGCCTATATGTTCCTTTCGTTGTTAATTGTTGAAATAAGACGGTATAGAAATATTCTTATAACAAAATTGCAAATATATTTTTATTATGCGGTAGGATCTAATAATACTATGTACAATTCTTTTAGTTTTATTCTTTTTTTAGGATCATTGTGATAGATAAATAAAATGTTGAGATTAACAAAAAAAATAAAATATACACTGGAAAAAAAGAGCAAAGAGTTAATCTCACTTTTGATTAAGCTAAGGTGATTACAAAGTAGTATATGTTCTAAATACTCTCAATCATTGACAATGAATGCTCAATCACCATGCTGCAGTCGCTGGTACTCAAACTCATGACCTCTAAGAACAATAATGATTCTTTTAACCACTGAGATAAGTTAGTTCGTACTTATCTTTATCATTTTATAAAATTACTTTTAAATTAATGATTTCCATATTAACTCCATGCTCCAATTTGTTTGAAGTAGTTTACTTTAAAGAACAAAGTGATTAATTTGGCCAAACCTTTGTTATCATAACTTTTCAAATAATGGACATACTGATATTTAATAGAAAAAATTTTCCGAAGTAAACAAAATTCGTTCTCAACTCCCATATAATCACCCCCATAATTCACCCAAAAAAGAAAAAAAATTCCTTTTATCATTTTACTAATCCCTAATTAATTTTAATAATTTTGAGGTAATAATATCTTACAAATTGATGTATGATCCTTTTGAATGTTGAAAACAAATAGCTATAAAATTTAAAATTATTATTTGAAAAAAGTCAAGTGATTATTAACGATATTAATTAAAGTGATATTTATGGAAAATAAAATATAAATATTATAAGTATTTGATTTTATTAAAAAGAAATCACGTTTGAATAGAAACTGAACAATATTTAATATAAGTATTTTTTGTTGTTTTTACCCAATTGGTCCAAAATATTTATACTCCAACATTAGTTCCCGAACTAAGTTTTTTCTTTAATGGAGAACGAACTTAACACTAATGAGAGTCGAGTTCTTCTATATTATTGTTGTCTACATTTTTTGAAGATAACATTATAAAATATATTGAAAAACATTTTTTCTAGAAAAATTAAGTATACAAAAATATATAAAAATGATACTCGTAGGCGTGAAGTTTTACTTACAAAATATTTTGAGAAATAAATAAAAAACCTATTAAATTATATATAATATTTTCATGAGTATAGAAACTATATTTTTAGATTGTTTAATTTGTATAAAAGACAAGGAGTACAAAATATATATATAAATTAACAAATACAAATATATTATGATTTATGATGAAACTGCAGGATTCACACAATCATAACAAATCTCTTTACCGTCCTAACAGCAACACTGAAAGATATAAAAATGAAATAAACAAAACAAAAGAAGACTGAAAGGGACCGAGTCGGCCCCGATGGGCAACCTCCCAAACTTCGAAACACTCGATAAATATCACATATAACACAGACACCCACACCTACATGGGCAAATCACGACCGCTCTTTTAAGGATACGTGTCTTTTCACAAATGGTTCCACGACCTGTCAGATTATTCGCCTCCTTTTACGTATTCATTATTGTTTATATAGACCCCAAACGGCCACACTAAACCAAACGTGTTGCTCAAAAAGCTTCCTCTTTTCTGGTTTCTGGTCTAGCCAGTAACTGCCTGTTTTGGGGAGAACAAACTTTAAGAAAATGTCATCGGATAAGGGGAAACGCTTGCCGGAAACTGATGGTGGCGGTTTGAACTTCGAGGCTACCGAGTTGACTTTAGGTTGCCCGGGGAGTCTAGAGTAACGTCGGACGGTGGAGCTAAGGTGGGCAGTAAACGTGGGTTTTCCGTTGATCTTAGCCTAGGTGACAACAAAGACACCAATAAGTTGGAACAGTCCCAGATTGATGTCCGAGAAGCCAATAAATCTCCTGTGTCAAAGTATGTCATGAAACTCATCATATATATTTTTTAAAATTTCAGTTTTGTTTTACTAAAGAACAAAAGAGCCGAATCTCAATGGGTGGTAGCAGTTTTGATGAATATATTAATATGAATATGTTGTAGGGCGCAAGTGGTGGGTTGGCCGCCGGTGAGGGTATGCAAGGAGAGGGAAGAAGAGTTGCAAATATATAAAGTGGCGGTGGACGGAGCTCCATATTTAAGGAAAGTTGATATCGAGATGTACGATAGTTACGGCATTGACTTCCCTTGAAGACATGTTCTCGTGTTTCATAAGTAAGTTTTTCATTATTATGGTAAAAAGTACATAAGGGTAATTTAGTCATTAAAATTTTCTTTTTAAATTTCACAGGGAATTGTTTGAATGATAAGAAACTGGACCAAGTGAATGGAATTGAGTATGTGCCTACATATGAGGATAAGGATGGGGACTGGATGCTGGTCGGAGATGTACCATGGCAGTAAGTTCCCGAAATTGTCCGTAACTAGTTGATTTGCTCTTGCTAATTACCAAGGCTTCTTTTGGAATTAATACTGACTTCTATAATAACAGAATGTTGTTGAATCTGTAACGTTTGAGGTTAATGAAAGCTCGGAAGCAATTGGATTAGGTAAAATTAAATTCTATAATTATCATTTTAATTTTATTATTATCATGGTATTAAAATATGATTAATTTGGTGGTAACTAATTATAATTTATTATTGATATGCAGCTCCAAAAAGCCAAAGCTGAATAAAATAAGCCTTTTAAATGAAGTATCCAAGAACGGAACTACAAATTTCTGTGCAGAGAGGCCTTTTGTTTTTGTTTCTAACTTGTGTACCTTGATGATGGTGGGCGATGACTAGTTTTAGACGGTCGAGTTGAAAGAATAAATAAATGAAATAAGATAATTTAATTTTTATTTTTTTCTCCTTTTTTTTCTCTCTCTGTATTCATCATTTTAACGAGTGGGTGATAATTCAGACTTAATCAACAAAACTTTGGAAATTGATGGTTTTCGATCATGAAGATGTTTCCAACCAAATTCAACTATTGCCATGGGTTGTGTATGCCAAAAATTTATAGATTAAGATATTATAAAAATCTTTCCATTCTCAAGTAACTAATTCCTATATACTTGAAATTGGAAGAAGGAAATTAAAAACTAATGGTTTATTAGATATAATTAAAATGTTTATCATTTCTTTTGTTTTTTTAATTAATCATTGATATCCGATCTATTGACCGACTAATCCAGATCAAGTACTATAGAGGCGAGGGCAATCATTCCAACCCAGTTTCCTTCATTCGCAAAATGTTAGGATTTGAACATTTGATCTTATTTAAAGGACATAGTGTCTATTCCCACTAGATTAACTGATTGTTTCCTTTTTTCCCCCTAATGATTATGTACCGAGGAAACTAGGTGTATAACTAATAATAATAACCCAACACACGCTTATGCGTACAAAAATGTCAAGTAACTGTTAAAACAAACGGTGCAACAGACACAATAGAACCATCTGGTGAAGGGCTGACGGCGAGTGTGGAAGGGAAAGTTCCTTGTAATGTGTTAGGAGGGATAGGCGAGTATTAAGATTTGTTTTTTTAAATTAATTTATTTAAATATGGATATTTTTTTCTAGGAAATGTCCGTCCAGCTCAGTTGGTAGAGTATAAGGCTCTTAACCTTGTGGTCGTGGGATCGAGTCCCACGGAAGGCATTTTATATTTCGGAGGTCTCTACGGAAGCTGCTCTTAACTTGGTTTTAGAGGCAGCCTACTATCATACCTCCCCCTTATCTATTACATATAGAAAAAAAAGGATCAACTAATTTATTTATATTTTTTCCTGAGTTGGGTTATGACCCCATTGGGATAGTCAAGCCCAGTAGAATTAGATGAGGTTATAAATTCCAAGAATATCTGAATTTGGTTGCTTTCTATTCGTTATGAGCTCAGATTCAAGTGATAGAGTGCGAGGCGTTGTTTTTATCCACCCATCATTGACAGTTTGATTTTGAAGCAGTGGGCCATTGAAGATAGAATAGAGGTTAATGTTCAAGCAAGGACCTTGTGATGTGATCCCTTATTTGATTTTGAGAAGCATGGGACTGCTGGCTAATTTCTGCCAAAATGTTACATTATTGACAAGTCGGTGTTCTTTAGTTACATTACTGGAAACATAATATGGATGAATCATGAGATCATACAAGTAATTACACCTCAGATCATGCACATATTTTTACAGCGTAAAATCATAAGATGGGATTTCTGCCTTCATCGACTTTAATCACTAGCAGATGGTTCGGATCCGATCCATTGGGTCCTTCAGAATACAGTGTCGGCAGGTAACGTGAAACAAAATCTTCCACCTGTGCACAGTGCCAACACATTGACTTACAAACCATGAAAAATAAGAGTAAGGGCTTTGCTAAATCGTTGTAGAACCCACCTCCTCATCTGTCATTCCAGGTTTTCCTGCCTGCGTCATGGCAATCTCAGCCTGCCCACATCCATTCACAACCAAAATCAATGATTCCATGGCATTATTTTTTCTTTAAGTATTTCATGCATGGATAAGAAACGTTATTGATTGATGAGATGCGACTACTTGAAAATAAGAACCAACCTGAAGACGCCACTGGTAGACACAACTTGGGTCCTGAATTTTGATTACGATCCATGCCTGAATGAACTTGCCCCATGCATCATAATATGCTTCAAGATTTTTGTTTACCAGCTCCAGCTGTAAAATTAATCATTCCGTGTTGGAACATCATAAATAACTAGTATGTTCATAGAGGCAACATCGGAAACGTTCTTCAAGACTTTGGAGCTTGGAGATAACCTGTGGATCAACAGCTTTAACAACTTCAGTCGGAAGGGGTTTGAAGCCAAGCATCCAGCCTTCATATAGAACCACCTGATTAAATTTTAATTTCTCACGTTAGCGTAGGAGGCCAGTGAAATGAATATCTTATCTAGAAGATACTAACATAATCATGTTAGTCATTGAAAACAATTTTGGTACATTGACTTGATCGTGTTACCCTTTCAAGTAACTGTACCCACCATTCCCTAGCTCTAGCTGAATATTTTCTTACCGTTAACGGTCCTTCAACTTCTGGCCATATCGAAGAATCAGCTCTGTCACCCCTCCCACTATATGCCGACTGTAACGAACAATTTTATTCAGAAACAAGCTGGAACGAAAAAGGTATTGTGTAACAAGTAAAACCGGTAATATTGTTCTTACTTTGTCGTATCGAGGAAGCTTCATCCTCATACCTGTATAGCTCAAACAAAGTAAACCGTAAGGAGATGAACAAACTCTGAATCATAGCATCAAAATATTTGAGTGTTGATAGAAAAAAAAATAACACCTTCTTTAGTCAACTTGGTCACAGCTTTCAGTGTTTCAACAGAGAATGGAAGATCATGGCTCCCAGCATTTCCTCTCAACTGAAACAACACCATATACAAAGAAAAGGAAAGAAAGAAAACGATTCATTCTTCTGTGAGTAGCATAAAGTTTGTTCCCCGGTTAAAGTCCGGAAAGGAAAAGCAATGGTCACCTCTAAAAGAGCATTTCTTGGATTCTCTTCCCTCAATTTAGCCTATTATCAATGTACATTGCGTAAGAAAGTGAAAAGAAAAATGAAAGAAAAAATGTTACAAGAAAATTAATTTTGTTACCTGACCTTCTGCTGTCAAATAGAAATCATCAATGGATAATGTTGCAGACTTCCTGAGATATTATGGTGGTTTAGTAATTTCAATTGTTTCCACTTTCTCGATTTTATTACCGAGAGTCAAAGGGAATACGAATTTAAATTCCATTGCTCATCAAGCTACCTGCCAGTGATCCTGAAAATATAATCAAGAGCAAATACAAGTGTGGTCTTCCCACAACCCTGTGGTGCACTGAAACCAATCTGCATCACAAGAAAAATGACATTGCCACAGGATTAAAAGAATAGGCCAAATAAGCCAGCTGCGTAGCCCTCTGATTATCCAAATGAAACGAAATGTAAAAGTATCTACTAACAGTGCTCTCCAACTGTTTAAAAAGTTCCTTAATTTACGATTTATAGTGATAAAATTGTCTTCATGCGGTAATTGACAACCTTGTCCATAAAGTTCAATGCAATGGGTGAAAATATTACCATATAATAACATTAAAGAGTGCTCTTAGGGGATTTGTTAGCAAAATCCAACGTGAAAAACTAATGAAATGTGCACAAACAAAGAAAGCAAAAGCATACGACAATCATTTGGGAGCCTTTATCCATACCATTAATGGAGGTATCTCTTCTCCGTCTTTAAACTTGGACGCGTGCTGTGATATCTGGTCTTCGCACCATATAAAGACTGGTATGTAGTAGTGATAAAACCTTGCTTTTTGAGGAGTAGTAAGGTTAAGTTCATTGACCTGAAACAATCGACAAAGCTTCGAGCCATAAAACCACCACTTGTCAATGGACTCTGCCACCTTTTCTTGGGTTAGTTCAACTTTGTACACAAGTGGACCGGCGCATATGAATTCAAAGAGGTCCTCCATAGAGGCAACTTCTATTGCGGAAGACGACTATCGGATAGAGAAAAATCGCAACTGATAATTTGATAAAATAAAAATGAAGATAAAGAAGACACAAATTTTACGTGGAAAATCCCTAAATAATATAGGGTAAAAACCACGGGCAACGGTAAAAGAATTTCACTATGAGAAAATAGGAATTACAACTTCTACCAAGGAGAAAACAATGATAATTCTCCCTTGATAAAAAGGAGAAAACAACTCTAAAGAAACTCTCTAAATTGTCTAATATTGGGAGAAAGTTAGAATGATTTGGGATGGTTTTGAAACTAAACAGGTTAGGGTATTTATAGTTGAAGCTTAAGGACTAATCTTGAAAATATCCTAAAGTACAACGACTAAATGTGAGATTGTACCATTTCCAAAATTCAACTAAAATTTCGGTGCATTAATTATAGGCACTTTCGGTGCCTATATTGCTAACTTTTCAACAATCTCCCACTTGAAGATTTGATTGGAACAACCATATCTTCACACCATTCTTTCTACCTTGTACCATCATGTTGCTTACGTCTCTGACAGGCCACAAGAGGATCGACACCGAGAAAATGTATCATCATTACTACCTTTCATGAAATCTGCTATGTTTGTCTTTGGTATGGACTTTCTGCATATCTACTGTCCCTTCTTCCACATTTTCACGAATGAAATGGTATTGAACTCGTATGTGCTTTGTCCTTGAATGAAATGTTGGATTCCTTGCTAGATGCAAGGCATTTTGACTGCCACAAAACAGAGAGACATACTTTTGATTGTGCCCAAGCTCCTTCAATAGCATCTTCAACCAAATTACTTCTTTACTGGCTTGTGTAGCTGCTACATATTCTGTTTCTGTTGTTGACGTAGCCACAACTGACTGCAATTTTAAAACCCAACTTACAGCTCCACCAGCAACTTTGAACACATATCCTGTAGTAGATTTGTTTTTATCCAAATCCCTTGCATAGTCAGAATCAACATACCCACTGATAAGTAAATTTGATCTTCTGTAATATAATGCAACATTTAAGGTCCCTTTGATGTATCTCAGGATCCTCTTTACTATATTCTAATGCTCTTTGTATGGATTCGCCATGTACCGACTAATCACTCTCACTGCTTGTGCAATGTCTGGTTTGTGCATATCATAGTGAACATTAAACCCCACTGCCGATGCATACGGTACTCGAGACATTTCCATCCTCTCATTTTCACTGCTAGGACTCATACTGGAGGATAATTTGAAGTTAATAGGAAGAGGGGTAGAAATTGGCTTACAATCTTGCATGCTGAATCGTGACAAAATCTTCTTCAAGTAATTCTTTTGTGAAAGCCAAATCTTCCTATTACTTCTGTCTCGGTGAATTTGCATCCCTAGAATCTTGTTTGTTGATCCCAACTCCTTCATTTC